GGAGCCGGAGTCATGGGGCGCCCCCCAGGACCGGCCGTAGGGAGTCGAGGGTCTGGGGGTCACGGGGCGCCCCCCCAGGATCGACAGTGAGAGCCGCCTCCTGATGACCGGCCGTGGGGAGTCGCGGAACCGGGGTTCACGGGGAGCCCCCCTGGACCAGCCGTAGGGAGTCAAGGGTCTGGGAGTCATGGGGCACCCCCCAGGACCGGCCGTAGGGAGTCAAGGGTCTGGGGGTCACGGGGCACCCCCCCAGGACCGGCCGTAGGGAGTCGAGGGTCTGGGGGTCACGGGGCGCCCCCAGGATCGACAGTGGGAGCCGCCCCCTGATGACCCGCCGTAGGGAGTCGCGGAGCCGAGTCACCGGGCGCCCCCTGACGACAGGGAGCACCCCACGTCGGGCTCGGGCGGAGACCCGCCCCGCAGAAGCCGCGGCCGCCGGCCAGCCTCGCACCGGGAGGGGCGGATGCGGTCCCTCGGCGCGGTGTCCGGGGGTCGGACGGAGGAGGCTGCCCCGCGGCGCCCGCCCGGCCGCGGTCCCGGCCCCGAGTACCTGAGCGTGGGCCCGATGCAGGCCGTGTCGGTGCTCTCGATTTCGCGCAGGATCCGCTCGTGCTCCGCCGCCGTCTCCAGGCTCTCCGCCTCCGCCATCTTCCCCCGCTCCATCTGCCGGGCAGCACCCTCAGCGACCCCTCTCACCTTCTTCCCTCCTCGCCCGCCGCTTCACGACCGGCTCGCGGCAGCCTCAGCCCGGCTACCCGGCGGCCCCGCCCTCCGCCGCGGCACGCCCCCGTGCGTCACCACGTCGCCTGCGTAGGCGCGGGGCACGCTGGGGGATGTAGTTCCCGCGCCTGCGCGAGTCCCACCTCCAGCCTTGGGTTACTCCTTGATTCCACACATCAGCGGGGAAAGCCCATTAGAAACCAGGCAGGGCGGCTCTGCATATGAGGAGGAAAACAAATCCGCCAACAGCACTGACGCCATAAATTTCTGCTCAGTGCTCTTGCCACAAAACGCAGAAAGGGCTCTAAACGCTAAACTAAGCCAACTCTCAAGGAGGAACATTGTCACTCTTCAGTGACCCTGTCCTTGCTGTTGTGTATCACAGAGTGGGAAATAACTTGCAAAACCTTCCGGGTTTTCTGAGGCAGTACATTGTACATAGGAGAAGACTGCCCATCTTTCTCCCGCAGAGCAACCAATGGATTCATACTCCTCATGAGACTCAGCCACCAGAGTTCTCTTAGCAATCCTGTGTCGTCGTTGTGAGCTGCTGAGTTGCAACTGATCCATAGCTGACCGCCCAGAAGGTTTTCAGAGGCAATAAATCGTGCTGGAGGAGACTGCCCATCCTCACACTGAGAAGCTGGTGGATTTGAACTCCGTGCCCTTGGGACTGCAGCACAACTCCTTACCACTAGGCCACCAGTACCAGAAGAATGTCTGTGTGTCATTGACTATACAAAGGAGTTTGACTGGATCACAACAAACTGTGGCTGACTCTGAAGAATGAGAATCCCAGAACACTTATAATTGCGTTCATGCAAAACCTATACTTGGACCAAGAGGCAGTCGTCAGAACAGAGAGAGTAGCGAGGAAACACTGCATGTTTCAACTCAGGAAGGGAGTGACTCAGGGATGTGTCCTGCTTCCATACCTTTTCAATCTTTATGCAAACAGATCATTTGGTAGACTGGACTTTATGAGGAGCAATGTGGCATCAGGATTGAAGGAAGACTTATCAACAACCTACATTATGCAGATGACACAACCTTGCTGGCTGAAACCGAGGAGGACCTGAAGCCTTTGCTGCAGAAGGTAAAAAACTGCAATCTTCTATATGGATTGAAGCTCGACATCAAAAAAAAAAACAGATTCTCACCACTCGGCCAACTGGTAGCATCATGATAGGTGAAAAGGAGACTGAGGTTGTTAATCTTATCTTGCTTGGCTCCACAATCAACACTCTTGGAATCAGCAGTCAGGGAATAAAAAAAAATGAATCACATTGGGGAAGTCTTCTGTCAGGGACCTTTCTAGAGTACTGAAGAGCAACCGATGTCAATCTGGAGAGTAAGGTGCACATGATCCAGGCCATGGTCTTTGTAATTCCTTACTATGCTTTAGAGAGCTGGACAATGACTAAGGGTGACAGAAGAAGAATCCATGCCCTTGAGTTGTGGTGCTGGAGAAGAGTATTGAATATACCACGGACCGCCAAGAGAACAAACAGTTCTGTCTTGGAAAGGTTGAAAACAAGTTTCCCCTTGGAGGTCAGGATTTTGAAACTCCATCTCACATACTTTTGGCACATAACCAAGAGGGACTACTCCTTGGAGAAGGACATCATACTTGGAAGGTGAAGAGATAGAATAGAGAAGAGGAAGACCCTGGAAGAGATGGATTGACATTGTAACTAGCACAATAGGGTCAGATGTGTTGGAGTCAGTGAGATAGGTTATTTTACATACAGTCGCTCTGAGTTGCTGGCAACTTGACGACCCATAACAATAGTAACAGAGCTCAAGGATCACATCTGGCTTTCAAGATTTCAAAGAGAGCACAAGTCTCTGGAAGGTTAAAAAGGCTTTACTGGGAAGTACAGAAGAATCCACAGACCCAGTAAGAACTCTCTGGGGTGTAGAAGAGTAAGCAGTAAGAGGTTAGCTGGAATGCAATTTTGGAGAAGTATTGTCAAGAGGTTTAAATACTGGGCTGAGAAAGTGGTAGTTTATTCTAATGATTGTGCTCAGCCAACAACCCACTCTACCTAAAGCTCTGGGAGGGTGTTTTGTGTTTTCTGATACAGTCCACAGATGTTACATCTGGAGCACATCATTCAGGCCGTTTCCCAAATTAGAATTTAAAAAACTGATTCATTCATCACTATATGAGTTTTACAACACATGCAGAATCACGGATTGATTTATTTTTTAAGTGTGACATAATCAAAACCTCAGCATTAGGAAACTTAATCAAAAGCAAATGTAGAGTGGCTTCTACATTACTACTCAGTGTTTCTTCTCTAAGAAATTAGTCAACAGTACTAATGTTTACAAGGGAAACATAAATGGGTATTCTTGTCATTACAGAAGTCCAGAGTGAAGGCTGCATAGTAGAGTGGACTTGGGGGAGAGGGATTGCTTAACAATGAAAGAGGTTTTCTTTCAAGAAGAGTGAATTTGGAGGGGTGGGGAGGGAGAAAAGTGCAACAGTGAATGACTGGAAACCCTAAGTCTCTGTAAATTTTCATTAAAATCAATTATAAAAGAAAAACAAATTAGTCAACAGGACTAATAATCCACACAAACTACATTCTTTTCTTGCCTGACACCAGAAAAATTAGATGGTGCTTGGGTACCACTACAAACCAATCTGACCACCAACACAATACAAGGTCCTGGTTAGAATGTGAAAAAATGTAGAATGGATCTCAAAACTTTGTTGTTGTTGTTGTTATGTGCAACTCAGTTCCCATCAAGTAGCCTACGATTCTTGGCAACATAAGACAGAGCTTTCAAATCATTGCCTCCAACGAGAAACTTGGTTTCATAAATTCACTTTTAAAAAACAAAACAAAAAACCAGCAACAATAGTGAAGTTCAACAGGGCAGGTAACAACAAGTGCTAGAGCGATTGAGGAGAGATTGGAATTCTTATTTGCTGCTGGTGGGAATACAAAATGGCACAACCAGTATGGAAGGTAATTTGGTGCTTTCTCAAAAAAGTTGGAAACAGAAATACCATTTAGCCCAGCAATTCCACTACAGGAAATATACCCTGAAGAAACCAGAGCCACAGCTCAAACAGATGTACGCACACCCATGTGTATTGCTGTGTTATTCACAGTAGCAAAGAGAGACAACCCAAGTGCTCATCAACAAATGAATGGAAAGAAAAGCTATGGTACATCCGCACAATGGAATAATTCACAACACTGAAAAACAAAGAAATAGTGAAACGTTACACAACATGGGGGAGCCTTGAGGACAGTATGCTAAGTGAAACATATCCATCACAAAAGTACAAATACCGCATAACACCATTGTTCTGAAATAGGACAGACGTGAGGGGTTGTGGAGGGAATGGGAAAAAAGTGGATAGATAAAGAACACTGCACCACATTAGTACAAATGAGAGGAAGAACTGTCTGAAAGGAATATATAATTATGCATTATATGTATGAGAACAATTTGGAACAAGGAGTGCATTATAGGGTGGGCTGGGGGAGGGGAAGAGGAAAGAAAATATGCAACAATGAATTGTTTAAAAGTGGATAAAAGATCTAACTGAAATGATAGAGACTAGAGAAACTCCAAGACAATTGTCCAAGTAACCCCTTTACCCTAGGACTAAAATCACTTCAAAACTCAAAATCTAAAAAAAAAATTCCGTTTACTTGGACCCATAATCAACATCCATTTTAGCAGCAGTCAAAAGAAAATAAAAAAGACATGTTATTGTGGAAAAATCTTTTGTTGAGGGGCTCTCCAAAATGCCAAAGAACAAGGATATCACTTTAGAGACTAAAGTTCACCTCATCTAAGCCACAATATATTTTGGTTGCTTCCTATGCATCTGAAAGTTAAGACAACAAAAAAGGAAAACCAAAGAAAAATCAATGGCCCTAAATTGTGTGTGGTGTTAGAAGAAAAGTATTGAATATTCAATGGACTTACAAAAGAACTAACAAATCTATCTTGGAGCAAATGCACCCAGGGCGTTCTTTAGAGGCAAACATGTTGAAACTTCCTCAATCTCACAAACTTTGGGATTGTTGACATGAAGGACAAGTTCTTGGGAAAAGACATGCTGAGAAAGACAGAGAGTTAGAGAAAGAGAGGAAGACTTTCAACCAAATGAGTTAATATGGTGACTGTAACACTGGGCTCAAGCATTTCAAAGATGGTGAGTATGGGAAATGTTAGGACAGGATTCAGATCTGTGGTTCTATGATTTCTATGAGTTATAACTGACTCAACGGCACCTAACAACAACAAAGCCACTCCCAGAGGTCACACTTCAGCCAAATACTAGATTGGCCTATAAAATAAACAATCACTCTACTGAGGAATGTGTTCCTTTTAAAAAGCTATCATAAGAGACAACTGTGGGCGAGCTCTGGTGGCCTAGTGGTAAAGAGCTGCAACTACAATCCCAGAGGCACACGGTTCTAATCCACCAGATGCTCTGCCGGGGAAGGAGGGGCAATCTCCTCCTGTACCAGTCAGATCAGATTTGACGGTACACTCACACAAAAACAATAAAATAAAAATTTAAAAAAGAGATAAAAATACAAAAAAAGAGACAACTGTGTACATGGACATTTACACAAAGGTAAAAATGAGGTGAGTAGAGCAAGCAAACTAGATGAATGGAAATGGAGAAGGTATGCTGACAATTGTGAAAACATTGACACATTAAAGAGATTATAACCAATGTTGCAGAGCAAGTTGCGTATGAATTATTAAATAAGAACCTCATTTTTTGGCTAAGCTTTCAAAGAACGCACAATAAAATACTTTCTAGAAAGAACGAGTATGCAAGATGGGCAAAGGTAGAAAATCTGGAGATAAGACATTAGAGGAGATTCTAAAGCTGGACTAGGGAAGTGACCATTGTAATGAAAAGAAATGGAATCTATTAAAAAATATTGCAAATGAATACGTAGCAGGATTTACTAAATACAAGAATAAAAACTTTTACCATAGTTTGGAGCTGTAAAAAAAGCAAGGAACACATGGGGATGGCCATGTCTGACCTAGAGTGACTTCA